ACGGCGACGTGCAAAGGGCGGTGTCGGAGGCGGGGCCCGGACGGGCGTCCCGGTTGCTCGGTGACCGTTGCCATCCCGGTTGCTAGGGGCGTCTCCCAGCCCCTCCCTCCCAACGAGGCCGAAGCGGCTCTCGGGAGCGCGCTCGCGACCCTAGTTCCGCGCTCGTGCGCCGCTGCGTGGCTCCCGCCCATCAGTCGGTCCCCCGTGTCGCCGTCACGATCCCCGCCGCCCCACCCGAGGCTCCGGCCCCCTGTGCGCGGCCCCCCTCCGGACAGTCGTCCGACCGCGACCCCGCAGTCGTGGCCTGGAGCCGCACCCCAATACACGCCGTCGCTCTGGGGACTTGCACGGGCCCGTGGGGGAGCCTCCTGCGTCCCCGTCCCACCCGGGGCCAGCCCCGCACCGTCCCCGGGAGAGACTGCTGCTCTGGGCCCTCCCTGACCTCGCCCGTCCCTCCGACGACGCGTGTCCCACAGCCCCTCCGACGCAAAGGGACCAGAGCAAGCCTGTGGGTGTGTTCTTTAGTGACACAAAGCGCTGGAGGCGCGACGCAGGGTGCCAGGGTGGTGCAGGAGTCAGCAGCTACTCCCAGGCCGGGGCCACGTGGGAGACGGCTGTAGCCATGAAGAAGCGGCTGAGCAGGGCGTCGTCGTGCACGGCCCCGTACTCCAGCTGCTCCGGGGTGATGGCCTCGTCTCCCGCCAGCTCCACGACCGTGGCCAGCAGGGACTCGCCAATGTCACCGAGGAGGACCGGCACACACAAACTCGGGCGCTGAGCCTAGTGGCCTCCCGCAGGCGGACGGGCGCAGTCGGCGCTCCAGGTGGCTCACGGAGAGCGTCAGCTCGGCTCGGGCCGGGATGTCCCTCAACGGCTCCTCTTCCTGCTCGGCACGCGGGGCCTTGGACGCGACAGACCCGGATCGGGAGGTCTGGCCCGACTGGACGCCTCTCCACATGCCCGCACTCCTGTTCTAGTGACCACGCCGGCCCCTCATTGGTCGGCAGCTGGTTCGTGCGGCGCACACTGGTGACGTCACTGCCCTCCAGCTGACCCCGAGGGAGCGGGCGGGGGCCTCCAAACGGCCGCCAGGGAAGGTGCGAGGAACCGGCGCGCCCTCGCCTCAGGGCCCTTCCTGTGCCGCAGTGCTCCCGCCTTCAGCACCCGAGCCACGCAGGAAAGGTAAAGGGGTGGGGGACGGGTACCACCCGTGGCCTCAAGGACGCTCGCCGTCAACCGTCTGCTTCCAAAGCACGTTGCCCACCCCGTCGAGAAACCCCTGTACCCATGAAGCGCTCGCCATCAACCGTCTGCTTCCAAAGCACGTTGCCCACCCCGCCGAGAAACCCCTGTACCCATGAAGCGGTAACTCCCTGTTGTCGTCGTCCCCCATCCCCATACACAGGCTCCCCATGATAGCTCTGGGCAACCACCAATCTGCTTTCTGCCCCCCATAGAGGTCTCTGTCTTGTGGGGATCTCCGTCGGATGGAACCCAGCGTGGGGCCTTCAGTGTGTGGCTGCTTTCACGCAGGGTAAAGTTCTCCTGATGGTGCGTCCGTGTGGTAGTGGGAATCGGTGCTGCGTTCCTCTTCATGGCTGAATAATATTCCACTGTATGGATGGACCACATTTTGTTTATCCACTTGACAGTTGATAAAGAGCTGAGTGATTTCCACTGTATAGGGAGGTGGAATTTCTCCTTTACCCTCTTAGACTCCCACGGCTAGGATTTATTTATTTATTAATACTGTTTGTTGTTGTTGTTGTTGTTTTAATTCTAAGATGTTGTTGCAGAGCAGTTTGGGGGAAGAGGAGATGGAAAGGGGGAAGAAAATAAGAGTGAGAGGAGGAGGAAGGGGGGTCATGGTTGAGGCCTGTGGCACCCACCTCTTTCTGGCACAGGAGACCAGGGGGCTTCCACAGGCAGCTCAGTCATTGCTGGGCTGGATGCAGATGTCAGGGGGTGTGGCTGAAGCCCTCAGCCTATAGTTTTTATTTCTTTATTAAACTTCTAATTTTGTTTATGTATTGTTTTCCTGATTTTGTTACTTGTCTATCTGTGTTCTCTTGTAGCTCACTGAGCATGTTTAAACAAGTAGTTTGAATTCTTTGTCAAGCTCTTCATGTATTTCCATTTCTTTAGAGTTGGTTACTGGAGCTTTATTAGTTTCCTTTGGTGTTATCATGTTTGCCTGATTCTTCGTGACCCATGTAGCCTTGCATTAGTGTTTGTGCTTTTGAAGGAGCAGACACCTCTTCTGGGTCTGCAGTCAGGTCCTCAGACAGTGGGCCTGTCACCAGGGGTGTGAATGGGTTTGGTTCCTGCTGGGTCCCTCAGTGGACAGGACTGCCCGTGGACTGTGATGGGGTGGGCCTGAGCTGGATCACAATTACAGGGCTGCTTCCATAGTTGGGTACAGTCAGTGGGCCTGTTTCTAAGGGCATGGACTGACATGGCTCCCAGCAGTTCCCTGGACAGGCAGAAGTGCCCCCAGACCATAGTAGTGTGGGGCTGGAGACAATTCACAGGGCTGTTTTATTGTCCACAGTAGGTGGGCCTGTTACTGGGAGTGCTGACAAGTGTTGCTCCTGCAAGGTACCTGGGGAGATAGGGCTGGGTTTAGGACCACACTCAAGTAGGGCTGGGGCTAAGTCCACAGGGAGGAGGGCTGCTGTGGGTCCACAGCTAGGACCATGGCTTATAGGCTGCCACCAGGATGTGGGCCTGCCTTATCAAAGAAGCCATCCTCAATCTTGGGCTCCGCTGGGGTTTCTCAGGCTCCTACCTGGATCCCAAGGCTCCCACAAAGGCACTTTTGTCCGTAGATAGCTGCCAAATCATTGTTCTTGTTGGGGGGGACAATAGCTGGGGACCTCCTATTCCACCAACTTTCTGATGTCACTCTCCCAATACTACATTTCTAATGCTCCCAGGTGATGTTGCTGCAGCTGGTTTGTGAACCATGCTGGAGTAACAAAGCCCTAAATCACTTACTAAACTTTTATGAGCCTTTTATAGGATCCCACAGTAGAAAACTACTTCATTTGCCCCATACCTAATCTCCCTTGTTCCACTCTTTTTTGCATGCTTTTCTCCTTCATGTATACGATCCTAACACTTGTCTAGCCAGAATGGTTTTATCTTGATTTTGGATGCTAAGAAATGCACAAAGCAAAATTACAAGGAAGATGTGATTGGGAGGAATTGCTTTTTACTCTGTATTCACTTTCTATGTATCTGTTCTAATCCCTCCCTCCAGGTCTTCTTCGGCAATGTGGACTCATCTGGTATAAAACACAACATTTTTAACCCTCCAATTATTGCTCGGTACATCCGTTTGCACCCAACTCATTATAGCATCCGCAGCACTCTTCGCATGGAGTTGATGGGCTGTGACTTAAACAGTAAGTGCCAAGTCACCCCATATCCTTCCCTCTCCCAATCACGGATCGAGTGACTAGCTGTCCTAGTTATCCCAAGACTAGAGGGTAGAGTTCCCAGTCTCAGGACACAGAACTATCAGTGCTAAAACCAGCACAGTTTGGGGCGAACCCAGGACTTGATTGCCCTAACCGTGGGATTCTCCAGAAGTAGCCACCTCCTACATTACTATTAACAAGGAAAATCAAAGTTAAACAGAGCTGAGCAGAGCTTCGCAGAAAACAGGGTGTGTTAACAATAGCAAAGTCTGTGCAAAAAGTTATTGCCTGAGAAATGATCTCCTGATCATGGCAGATTGGGAGTATCAGTGGAGGCGGTCCAGCGGAACCTAGGGTGCAGCCCGTCCTCGTGGTAACATTCTTCTTTCATTTCTCTGAGGTTGCAGCATGCCGTTGGGAATGGAGAGTAAGGCAATATCAGATTCACAGATCACTGCCTCGTCCTACTTCACCAGTATGTTTGCCACCTGGTTGCCTTCACAAGCCCGACTTTACCTCCAAGGGAGGGCTAATGCCTGGAGACCTCAGGTCAGACGCAACAGATTTACCACTTAACTGAACCAGAGCAGGGATTACTGGTTGGTAAAATAATAGGGGAAGCCCTTGACTGTTCTTCAGAGGTATTTCTATCAACTGTTGTTGCTAAAAAGAGTGTCAAGGAAGGTTGACTATAGGCAGATGATCCCACAGGCATTTAGTGGCTGTGCCATATGACTTCACACAGCATTCACTGGAGAAAATGATCCTTAATTGAACGTCCTGAGAAAAGAAACTTCATATCCGGCACTGAGCTAATGTCTGTCAAAGAATCATTGTAGCTAAAGTCCACTTTTACAGATAAATATCAACAATTAGCTTTATTTCCAGGTTTTCTCAGTCCCTCAAAGGAAAGAGTTTCAGTCACGTGTAATTCATTGGGCACAGATCTTCTCCAGAGCCACCCAGTTGTGATTTTCAATCACTGAATAATTTTCTGGGAGAATAAATGAAGTTAATTGTCTCAGTTCCTCCGGGGGCTTATTTTAAACAAAATACGTTTTATACCACATTGCCCAGTGTTATACTCTAATCAGTATATATATTATATATGACTCATATATTTACTTGGCAAGCATTTACTGGGCACCTATGAAGTGACTGACCCTGGGGATACAGAGATGAACTATGAAAAATTTTGGCCCCCAAGTTGTTTAGAGTCTAATAAGGGAGACTGACTGACAAACCATTAAAATGCGGAGTGATTAGTGCTGTGACAAAAAAGGATTTGGGGGTTTCTGACAGCAAACGGTGACCAACAAGATACTAGTCCAGCACTGTTTTCCTCAGGTGAATGATCCAAAAGAGTGGCTGCAAGTGGACTTCCAGAAGACAATGAAAGTCACAGGAATAACCACCCAAGGAGCAAAATCTCTCCTCACCAACATGTATGTGAAGGAGTTCCTCATTTCCAGCAGTCAAGATGGCCATCGCTGGGCTCTCTTTTTTCAGAACGGCAAAGTAAAGGTATGCTGGTCTCATACAGAAACGACGCAAAACCTGTCCTAGGGCTTGACATTAGAAATATAACAAGGTTGATATATGACCAGTCTTCCCAGGTAAAATCTACTGAGTGCCTGCATTAACAGGACACTGCGAAAGGCATTCTGAGAGAAGGCGGTGACTAAGCAAGCAGGTAAAATCCCAAGAAAAGGGCACAGTAGAGCCAAGAATTGACTCTCCTCGCAGGTGTTGATGTCACCCAGGATGACGGCAGGAATGAGAGGACTGAAGAAGAGGGAGAGTTATTTGCCCGATGCTTAGTCATATGTGTCTTCACCAGCAGTCTGCATTCCCAAGCCTTGTTGACCTGTAACTTCAGTGGTCCACACAGTCTTCACTTCTGATCTAGATTTTCTGGATAACTCAGCAAACGCTGCTGATTACAAGACATGACATAAAGTTTTACTATCCCATGGGTAATGGAGGAAGAAATAATTTACCTCTAAGGTATATATTTTTTTCCACCAAGAATTAAAAATGCAGTGGCCCTTATCAATCTCTCTAGTAAGGTCTCTTGCTCCTTGTGCCTTTGCTCTCTAAGCTCCATCTATACTAAGAAACTCTGAGATCCCTCAACACAGCACATTCTGTCTCACGCCAGGTTTTACTGTCTCTTCTGCCTGGAACATTTTCCCACCTCCCTCCCTCTACCCCTTTTGCCTGACTCATTCTTCAAGGCTCAGGTGAACATCATCTCTGCCAAAAAGAATGACCTGATCCTTCAAGCCTGAATCAAAGACTTCTGCTTCTGACAATTTGGTGGACTAGAGTCTAGGAAATATATATTCTAGAGAACATTTCTATTTTAAAAAGGTTGTTTCGGGGCCGGCCCGGTGGCGCACTGCTACGGTGCGCCGCTTGGGAGCGTGGTGGCGCTCCCGCCCAAGGGTTCGGATCCCACATACAGACCGGTTCCCGCTCACTGGCTGAGCGAGGC